CATGGAGACAGTGAGAGCAAGTTGCAAGTCTAGACCACTGGCCTGGCCCAGCTGTGACTGTTCTTGCTGCCTCCATGGCCTGCTTGCTGCTCTCGCAGTAGCTTGCTCAGCAGACTTAAATTTAGCATCCTTCACAATGGGGGAGATAGCATCCCCTCATTACGACGCGAAGCATTGGCCGCAGCTGGGCCATGCCGGTGTCTCGCGGTGGAGAGAAAGTTGCGCGTCTCCCCGAGTGACCAAGGTGCGCGCAACACCAAGAAGAGCCGGAAGAAGCGCCCGCGAGATGAGAGGCAAGTCCAGGGGCACTTCCCTCCCGCTCTGGAATATGGAGTGAGTCTCCATCCCCGTCATCGCCCTTACCTTCTCAGGCCATGCGAGGAGTGACTGGGAGGGTGAGGGGCGGAGCCAGCTAGCTGAAAGGGAGCCACAGCAGGGGGACAAAAGAGCTTCATTTATTTGGGAACCTGAAATGACTCTTGATTTAAATCATATGGTAAAAAGCACCCAAAGAAGAAGAAAGAACATCAGGGAAAAAAACAACCCAACACTCACCTGGTTTTGGAAATGGTTCAAGAGGGAACACATACACACATGAGAGAGAGGGTGGGAAGAGAGAGGGAGGGAGGAAAGAGAGATAGATGAGAGAGAAAAGGAGAAAAAGAGAGAAAGAGAAATGAGAAAATAATGGAGGGAGAGAATGAGAGGACAAAGAGAGAAACAAATGAGAGAGAGAGAAGTAAAGAGAGGGACACAGAAATGAGAGAGCTGGAGGGAGAGAATGAGAGGGAAAAGAGGGAAACGAGAGAGAGAAGGGGAGAGAGAAAAAGGAAAGAAAAGGGAGGGAGTAAGTGAGCGAGAGGGAGAGGAAAAAGAGAAAAGCAAGAGAGAGGGAGGGAGAGAAAGAGACTCCCATTTCCCACAGAAAATACTCAGAGCCACAAAACCCTGGTAGGTGTGGCTGGGATGTGTGTATCATGTGACTGGGTGGGAGTGACATTGAATTGGCCATGCCCATCCAGGTTTTGTGGCTCCCAGTGTTTTCTTTTCTTTGCAGACCCCTGGGCTAGCTGAATCCTATAGCAAACTTTTCAAGTAGGAGGGACAATAAAATTAGCATCGCTTGCTCTAGGACAGGGCAAGCAGCATAATTAACACCTGATCTACACTGTGGAAGCAGCTTCAAGTTTAAAGGAGCCTTTTGTGTTCAGTACTGCCATTCATATGTCTTCTAATGAAGTGGCACCAAGTACCTCACACCCTGCAATTTCAACTCACACCACTGGGGTGCTGTAAGGAGTTTAGATTGCTGCATGGGAGGCAGGGAGAAAACCAGTTATTATTATCAAGGGTCCCTTTCAGAATTCTTAAACCTTTGCAATTATCTGAGGATGCCCTGAAGACTGATCCTATCCCTGCTATATTTACAACAGCAACAGCATTGGTAAACATGGTGGAATAATTTGTATGAATCCAGCTTGCAGCTATGCAGAATCACTTTTCTGAGTGTTGCTCAAATCTAGTACACTTCACATGCGCTGGGTATATTGAAAGTTATAATCCCAGCACATTTAAGAGACATGAGATGGGGGAAAGCTATTTCTTCCTTTCTTAATTAATTAATTGAATTGGGTTTGTTGGTTGGTGTCAAGGACATTGGTAAAGGGCAGAGGAAAAGAGCATAGTCTTTTATGGGTCAGAGAGGGTCCACCCCAAAGTGCTTTCTGCTAACATCCCACCTATGGATTTAACTTAGTAACAACATCTGATTTACTGAGTCAACATCTTAAGCATCCCTGGGCGCCTTAAAACATCTGATATAGCATTGTTCCTGGGAAATTTGAAATGAAGAGCTGCTGAGTCAGCATCTTAGACAGGCGGGATTAGCCCGGAAGTATTGATGCTGGGTCTGTGTTATTGGTTCTTTGGAGTTTGAAAAGGGGAAAGTATCTAAAGCCAGAATTTTTGAGACACCTGGAAACAAAGTGATACTGTCTTTACTTAGGCAAGTGAGCAGGCAAACCTCTGGGGCTGTTTGGGAAAGCAGCAGATTCCCGAATGATGAAATCAGAAATCCATGAATATCTGGATTAGGAACAGAGCATTGATGAATTTTATGGAAGATATCTATGATTTTTGGATTGTTTCACAATGGAAGATGAGTTTAGTTAGTAACCCTTGGGGATTGGATTGGGCAGGAATTTTTCTACAATGTATAAAATTATTAAAAGGAGTCCTCTCCCCTCCTAATTTTTTCTCTTTTTGCCCTTTTACTGGTTTCTAAGGTGAGAGGTCCACCTGGGAAATATTAAAGCTTTGCCATAGAGTGGCAGAACAACTACCAAACCCAACACGCAGGCTAGCACGAGGCTGAAGATGGAGTGGGAGGCTCACACTCAAATGCTGAGCCAGTCTATTCTTCCTTAATTCCCAAGCTTCTTGTGAGACTAATCAAGGTACAAAATAATAAAGCACTTTCTAAATTACAAGTGCTGTGTCAACGATTCACATAACTCAATCTGGAAGTAGTGGGTGCTCTTGTAATTAGTCTAATAACAGAGATAAAAAATTGGCTGCCTCCTCCACATGTAAGCGAAAACAGAGCAGATATTATTTCGTTAGTCTTCTGTGAAGCAGAGGAAGTGTCCCTTTTGCATATTCTGAGAAATACTGAGGGAGAAAGAGGATCATTTTCCACTGCAGTTACCAAAACTTTGTTTGAATTATTATTAGCTGTGGTCATAAATTAATAGATGGCCCCAAAAAAAGAAATGGGAATAGTTAAGGCAAGAACTGAATGTAATTTATGATTGCTTCACATGCATTGACTAATTTAAATAATGCCTGTAACTCTCACATCACATTAAAAACACATTTGAATAACAATTTTGGACCTGGCCGCATTTAAGCAGGAAGAGATAGAAAAAACTCAAGATGATAACTATGAATGTGCAATTCAAAGCTGGATGCTTTTTTTTTACAAATATCACATGCACATTGTATACACATTCACATTATGAATACATACAGTGTAACTTGTGCTGTGGTTCCGATATTTTGAGTAATTATTTAACTACCACATCAGCTGCCATCTAATCCTTTGATAAGCTACTGGGGAAACTTAGTTAGCAATAAGATTTCTACTATTAGCAATAGCTAGTCTTGAGTAAACTTAAGTCCATAGCTGCTTAACTATAAAATTTAGCATGTGAACAACTGACAGCATTTACTTGCATTCTAACTTATTTTACAGAGTTTTTGGAAGGGTGAAAAAGTGTGAAGAGCTCTGTTGCTTTGACCATTTTGGGAGAAAGAGGAAAAGGAAACTGGACCTTGATTATTGTTCAGAAATGTTACTGATTTTTAGTCATTCTTCATTATAGCTTAAGATGTTTTAAGGAAAGGGAGCTGAAAGAAAAATAACCCTTCTCAGGAAACTAAAAGAAAAAGCCTCCAGTTCCATAGGCTCTAGCTCATATGATAAGGTGAGCTGCTCTATGTTAGACCAACATTAAACTTGGTATGTTTAAGACTCTAAAACAAGATTTCCATTTCACAGTAATAGCTAGTTCAATAGTACTTAGGCTTTGAAAGAGATAACCAGTCACTGGTTATCATACCTATTTCTGCTTTTTAAAATGCTATTCATAATTCAATTTATAATGCTTTCGAAGATTTAATATACTGTAATCACCAGACTAGAAAGGACCTGAACCATACTGTGCAGTCCTATTTCACAATATATATTTTTCCTGTTCTGCCCCCTTCCCATGTTCACACTATTCATACTACCAGAGCAAACTAGATACATGACTCTACTACTCATGCAAACAGATCACGTGAGATGACTCATGACAATGACCAGACTACATTCTGCAGGACTAAAAGTAAGTGACCAGTTTCTCTTAACCCCTATTACAGGGTCATTTTTCAAGCATAAATCAAATCCTCCTAACAGAGAAATCCTATGCAAAGGTATTAAGCACACTCCTGCTTTGTTGGGGTATTCTGACAAGGAAATAGGTGTAGGTTTGCAAACTTTCTTGAACGTTTTATAGAAGTGTATCAACTCCACGGAATATCCTGATTCAACCTGTTTCAGATTTATTGAATTACTAAATATACAAACAAACAGTAATTCCTGAACCCACTAGACCAGGGGTGTCAAACTCACGGCCTGGGGACCAGATCCAGCCCACGGGTGCTTAGATCTGGCCCCTTGGGGCTGCCCTGAAAACAGCAAAAGACTGGCCCGCAGTGCCTCTGCCAGCAAAAATGGAGCTCAGGAGGGCCACAGGAGGGTTGCAGCTGGAAACGGAGTTCACGAGGGCCGCACATAGAGCTCTGTTTTCACTAGCAGAGGGTTACAGGAGGCTCGAAGCCGGAGAGAGAGCTTGAGAGCCCATTTTTATTGGCAGAGTGCTCAGACCACCACAGGCGCCCCTGACATGAGTGATCTCTAGCTGGCTGTGTCCACCCTGGCCATGCCCACCCTGGCCCCTGAGGTCAAACATAACCCTCATGTGGCCCTCAATGAAATTGAGTTTGACACCCCTGCACTAGTCCCTCCAGAATAAAAATCACATGGTAGCCTTAAAAATGCATTGGATAATTGGAACTGAAGTCCCACATATTTAGAAGATACCAGAGCAGGGAAAATATATTAGAAGGAGTCTGAAGTTCAATACAAAAGAATTGATGAGGTCTGGATAGGTGTATAATGGTATCATAAGAAAATAGTGACCTTTATGATCTCGATATGCCATGCCAGCCTTCTTCAACCTGGCTCTCTTAAGAGATGTTGGAACTGCAAATATCTAGAATTTGTCAGCCAGCATTCTGAAAGTTATAGTCCCAAAACATCAAGAGAGTGTCAAGTTGGGGAAGCTGTCACAATTAACATTTACCAAAACTTTTTCTGAATTATCAGTTGCATATCCACACATTTGTACTTTGCATATCACCCCAGATTGTCTAACTTTTGTGGATCATTCACTCACCTAGGGGCATCAAAGCTGTCATAGGAACCAACTGTGTAGTGTCTGAAGAGTCGTTTGGCTTTATCGCTGCGGCTCTCTGCAAAGCAAAGTGGAGAGGGAATGGGATTAGAGCAGAGGGGCATATAAAACCAAAGTAGCATTTTCTCTGGGTTCAGGACACTTTTCCTCCAGTAGCTGCTCAGAGGCAGCATAGATTTAGGGCAGCTAATCGTGGCAGAGTGAAAAAAGATGTCCATGGAAAAAGGTCATGTTAAAGAAAAGGAATAAAAGGAAATCAAATGTATACTTTCCAACTTTCCTGTAAACTGCTGCATTTTCTCCCTAATAGTTATACAGTATTAGTTACCAGCACACATCTATATTTTGTAAGACATCATGGATGATTAGTATTAATGATAATGCATACTTGAATTTAAGCCAAAAAATGGCTCATTAGAGCCAGTTCTTTTCTTGGGCTTTCTAAGCCCTCTCCCATTGTATTGCTAATTTTCAGTTTCCTGCTAAAATAGAAAACATAGGAAAACCATTATATAACTTCCAATAGACTTAATATAATTTAATCCCTCCACCCCCTAGATATTAGCTCATCTCCTTTACATCAAAATCCTGCATGCTATGGTGCTTGTCACTCCTCAAACAACTGTGGACTTTGACCACAAAATCTTGTCCATTCTTGTCAAAGTTCTCACTAATAACTATTATTTATGATAAGAAAGGGTGTTCAGGTCTAAAATATAGAAGAGCATATTCCCTGTGTCTCTCTTTAATCCAGAAAAAAAAACCCCTAATATCAGCAAGATAAAACTCCAAAAGGAGGACACAAAGAGACACTGATTTATTTATGCACTTCTTGAGATAATGGCTATAAATTTAAAGAGAAATTTCTTTAAATTATTCAAGATAGTGCGTTTAATTATATGCATTACTCTTCTAGTTTTAAGTTAGCCTTTCCTGGTCCATTTTTTAAAGACTTTTATTTTTAATCCCACCTTTATTTTATTTTTATAAATAACTCAAGGTAGTAAACAAACTAGTTCGTTTTCCTTCTTCTATTTTCCCCACAACAATAATCCTGTGAGCTCAGTTGGGTTTAGAGACTGATTGGGACAAAGTTATCTAGTGGCTTTCATTTCTAAGTTGTGACAAGAAACTCTTAACTAGCATAATAATTGTCCCTGTTGACCAAGGATTCTGGGAGTTGAAATCCCAACACATCCGGAAGATAGATAGCTACAGAGATCTATAAAAAGTGATCATGCAGAACTTTAAGGTCCCTAATTCTCCTCTTTCCTTCAGTTTCTTGACCCTTTAACTAGTCTTTGAGTGAGCACATCTCAAAATAAGGTAGGAATGGGAAGCCTATAACTTTCCAGATATTTCTATATAGAAGTTTCCATCACCAATAGAGTCTGGCTAGTCTGCTGAAAATTATGATTCATGACATTGGAAGGGTCACAATTTCTCAATTTATGAGAGAGAAGTTTCTTTATATAAATCACTCTCCCCTGCTACTATTAGTAATGCTTCACATGCATCTCTCTGAAATTCTCCAGCTATGAAACGGCATCCTTTCTATAGTGAACCTTAAGGCACAATCTGTGTATAGGCTGCCAATTCACACACTGCAGCTGGTGTAGCTCAAGTGTTAAGTGTAATCACATATTGGACAAATACTGTGTATTTAGTATAACACCTTTTTTGTAGTTTTAAGTATTATCACCAGATTCAGGGTGTGAAAATTCACTAATAAAAATATCATTGTCTGAATCTGATGAATGGGGAACAACAACTGCATAGTAAAATATTTTGTCGGGAAACTTATATGAGAAGATTTGAAAACAAAAGCCAAGAAATATTTCAGTAGTATGAAGCATTATGCATTGGAAACTCATGTGGTTGTACGTGTTCTTATATTTGTTTGTAAAATGTTTATGTGCACATGACTGTCAGAAACAATACTACGTTGTACTACAACAAATAAGGCAGCATTCTTTAAGCAGAATGCATCACCACAAAAGATGTCCAACCGAAACCAATTTTTGTTCCTGCCTTCTTTCTTTTCATCAAGCTATTGTGGAAAAAAGGAATCACTGTTGGTCCTGTTAGGAACCGCTCATGTCAAATAACTCCTTTTAATTCTTTCTTTCTTTCTTTCTTTTCTTTTTTAGAAAACCCAGCATTTTGAAAGAGAATATATAGTGGAAAGATAAATAGATGTGAGCAAAACTACATTTTGCATATGTGTATTTCATCATATTGTGATCTACCCATATGTTTTTCAGATATCAGTAAGACATGTAATATTATAAGTTCTGAAGGCCTTGAGGGAATTAAATGCATGTATAATATTTTTGATTGGGTATTAGTGTCAATCCTAATTTAAAATGATGGGCGGAGGGAGGAGAGAAAGAATAAAAAATCTAACAAAAAGAAGCCCCACTATGTAGCCTGGAGAATTCTGAAAGCTGAAGTTCACACATCCTAGAGTTGCCATGGTTGAAAAATACTAATTTAATACTTTGCAATAAAGGCTGCTTTGCCATTTCTCTTTCCCCCACTTCTCTTTCTTTCTCCCCCCCTCCCCCCCACTATAAAAAATGGGAATATTCTGGAACATTTTCTTCCCATAAACTTCCATGAAATGCAGCTCCATTTTACTGTGTTATATTTTCAGAGGTATAAACCCATTTTATATCATAGATGCCCATTTTCCCCTACCACTGCCAAGGAAGTAAGCTATGTCAGGCATTTTCAAACTTCTCCTGGAGATGGAACCTACTGAAAAAAAATACCCAGAATGTCTGATCAAGAACCAAAGAAAATAAACATAATTGAATAAAACTTTTTTTTTAAATAAAAATCTTTGTGGTAACCCTCAAATTTTCATGGAACCCTGAGTTCTGTGTTCTGTGAGTTTGAAACTCCCAGGCTATGTTCTGATATAATATCCATCCACAAAAATGCTTACCAGAGGAGGGGAGGGGGGCACGGGGGGTGTGTGATTGGTTCCAGAGTGGCTATGAGTGCAAAAAAAGGAGGGGAGTGGGGGAGAAAAGGCTCCTTTCTCTATGAGTGCTAAACCTAATCATAATCCAAGAAATGTCTAGGAATTATGCTAATCTACCTTCTCAAAATGATGAAAGATTGTCTCCATCTTGTAGGTAAGAAATGGAGCAGTACTGGCAAAATGCTCTTTTGCACAAATAAAAAGTGAAGGTTCCAATAAGCTATTATGTCCTTTTCTAAGTTACTCCATTCTATTACCTTTCCCCACCAAGCACAACTTTAAAAAAAATAAAATCAATAGTAAGTGCTCACCAGATTTGTTAATTCATTCTTTCTTAGATTTTTCTTTCTTAAAGACTTCTTATATGTTTACAAACTATGGAACTTCCCCTATCCGTTTGCTACCTACCCTTGGTACATGGGTGGTATATTGTTCTGACTACACTCTTGAAAAAACTGAACTTATTAGGTCTAGTAAAAATGTCAAGAAAAGTGTCCTTGAAATGATATGAAACTATTTAGCATAATAATGTTTTTTGATGGGACAAAAATTTATTCCATTTCATGAAAAGGGATACATATTTTCATTGAATGAAGTATTCAGAACCAGCAGAAAGTGAATTGCCATGGCTGTGTGTGTGTGTGTGTGTGTGTGTGTGTGTGTGTGCGCGTGTGTGTGTGTAAAGTACCCAAACAAGGGAACAGTTCAGGGTGCTGGTGATCACCTCTAAAGTACTACACAGCTTGATCCTTGTGAGACCACATACTCCAAGCAGAATTTGCCCATTCAAATACTGCCTGTAAAGGAAGATTATTGAGAATCATCATTCCTTGCAGGGATTCAAAGGCAGGCATTCCCTGTGGAGGGTCCCTTCCTATAAAACATCCTCCCATCAGACATGGGAACTAAACCCCCACTTTTAATATTCAGGAAAGTTTTTTTTAAGGTTTTTTTTTTTCCAACAGGGAGTGAGATGAGAGCAGATAAAGGTACCTGAGTTTGGGATGAATCTTTGTGGCCTGATATTGTATAGTGATATGACATTATGTAATACTTTAATTGTTGATTGCTTTTATTTCTGACATATTGGTAAATTCTGATCATGTGGACGGTATTGCAACATATTTCTATCTTCTAGGTCTGACTTAAGAGTCAGGTGATTGAAGTGGCATAAAAGCACTTGTAACAAATAAATAAAGGCATCATCTGGAATACCTACCTTGCTTCCCTTCCTGGGACTTGTTGGGCACTTCCTCCACGCAGTCTGAGGGGAACCAGCCTACACGACCCTTTACCTGTCCCTCCCAGAAGCCGCCTTCCCCAACACTCAGCACTGCAAAGGAGATAGGCATTGTTAGGGGCATAAAGAAAGTAGGGATTGTATGAGGGTAGGCCAGCGGTTTTGTCATTTCCCTATAGCCAGTTTGGTGCAAGAGCCTAGCCCAAATCTACACCTAGCAACATCTATCATCCTTAAGAGATCCACAGTCTTTTGGCCTAGATTTCCCTAGAAGATTATGTGCAGAATAACCAACTGAGTTTAATTTGCTGCTATTTTATTTTTTTTAAGCATGGACTGTTTTTGAAGCCTATACTAAAATCTTGCCTTGAGATTTCCCAGAGGTTCCCAGATTCCAGCACTCTTTGTTGAACAACAATTTGACTGTCTGTTGAATCTTACCGTGTTTTCCCAAAAATAAGACCTTGTCTTATATTTTTTTTGAACCCTGAAATAAGTGCTTGGCCTTATTGCCATGCGCTCAAAAGCCCGATTCGGCTTACTATCAGGGGATATCTTATTTTGGGGGAAACGGGGTACTTGCCTGTTGATATAATGATACAGTCCCCCACCATACCTTAGAAAAACAAACTTTTAGTGGGCTAAGGACGCATTAACTCTGTTTGCCAAGGAAAGGAAATAACTGATGAACTCAGCGGGTATGGCTGAGTGGTGGGAAGAGGATAGCATTGTGGCTCTTAAACTGCCACCTGAGCCCCAGCGCATTGTAGCATTGAGTGCTTTAAATGAAATTGGCTTTTTCCTATTTGCTTTTTCAGATACTGTTGACATCATCACTTTTAATTTTGTTCTACAAAATAGCATAGGGGATTTACAATAGTTTGCACTCATGGGAGGGAAGAAGGAGGGAAGGGTTAACTGCAATGGAAGCCTTCTGGTATTAAACTCACTCATATATGGCCACTGCCATAGTTGTGTTGTTCTAAATCCTTGTTTACATTTCCCTCAACTGGAAATAAATCGGACAACAAAAAAAGGAACATCTTATGGTACGAAAGTCCCACCAACCATACCTGTTAAGATTCCTCCTTCTGTATATTAAATTTGCAGGAGGCTTTTGATTTTCTGCATCTGATCACCACTCTATTTTACTGTACATGAAAACCTGAAATCAGGCCTCTTATCTTAGGATGTGTAGTATCCCGCTGCTCCAGTAATTTCATAGATTATCTGCATAACCATCAATTTAGGGAAGAGCCAAGAGCACCAAATAGCTCTTAGCTAAACAAGAGATCAACTTGGATATTTGTAAAAGCAATCTGGCAGTTTACTAAGCAGAGAGCAGGAAAAAGAAAGGGGCTGAGAAAGATAAATAAATTTGGTTCCTGTAGTAGCCATTCTGGGATTTGACCCTCACTGTTACTATCATGTTAGCGTTTATATCTGAAGAAATGTAATTATTCACAGAAAAAACCTCTTCCATTCCTGATTAAGAGCAGTAGATTTCTGGCTTGTATTTTTTAATTTGAACCTCAGATTTACTGGAACTTACTGCAAGAGCCACAATCTTAAAATGAAAAAAAAAATATTGAGCATAGATATTCAACTGGAACACATATAAAAATGGACCATGGTTTTTCAGGAGGTGGGGAGTAGCACTATGCACGAGAAGTGCAACAAATACTATAAGCAATATACAGGTTTTAAAAAGGAAAGATATAAACTGAAGGGATAACTTGCTTTTCTCTCAGTGCTATATACTTTAGGGGCAGTATTCAAAGAATCAGAACTAGGGTTCATTATGCATTATTTAAGAATATCTTTCATTGAACATCACAGTCTCTGCAAGTGAAAAGGCCGCCTTTTAATTTTTACTTCCAACGTTAAAGGATAAAAAGAACCATGAAATTATTTTACCAACCAAAGACTCAAGATTCAATCTCTGCATCACTATCTAAGTGATCAAGATTATGCAAAAACCCTCTGGCCTAAGACTCTAGAGATCTATTTCCAATTAGGTTAGAAAGTTCTGGGTTAAGAGGACAAATAATATGAGTTTGGATAACACAACTTCTCATCTTTCATTAGAATAATGCAGATTATCCTTTTTTTCGATATCAAACACTTCCTCATTTTACAAAATTCTAATCCTGCTACTATTCTCTAGACACAGATACACACAAAAGAAAAGGCCATGAACCACTCACATGTAGCTGACTGATACACACCAAGACATTGTAGACACCAACAAGAAACCATGTACACAAACACAAGCCAAGCCTCACAAATAGCCTGGCTTTTAAGCTAAGCCAAACACAAGGTTCTCAAAGCATGAAGTAGGAGGCAGCCCACCCCCCAATTTAGAGAGGTCTAAAGTCCTTCCTACCCTCAATCCCACCTACATTTATATGCGTGTATATATATCACTCTTTGTTTCCATATTCTGTTAAGGATTAAGTATGGTTTTCCTTACTTGGGTGGGATGAATTGTATGCATGTTTATCAAAAAACATGTGGAGCAACTTCTGTTTTTTTAATGTCCTCACTTTTCTCTCCATTAAGTCTTTACCTGACCTACTTCCCTTGGCAGAACATTTCTAGATGGTGAAAATCAATAAGGCTTGAAGTATTCAAAAGAACTGAAAGGGATGGATTAAAGATTCTTTCCTGCTGCCCTTCTCCGCACTTTAAAGAAAGTGAAGGAGATTTTGAGAGGTCAAGTCAAAGTGTCCTGGACACAGGAATCTTGCCCAGACATCTTCCATCAGGTGATTCTCAAGAATCGGGTCTCCTAATTTTTAAAAAAGGATCTTTCTTGGAGAGGACCAAGTTTCTTACTCCTTCAGTTCAAGGAGGCTCACTACAACAGAGTTTGAGAACCTCTGTGCTAAGCCGAATGATTTCTCCCAAAGAAGCTGAACAATACTGTAGACTCATGAAGAATCCCTGGACAATCCAAGGCTGTGCACAAAGATCAACGTACCCTTGATCTTCTCGCCCTTGCTGATGGAGAGCTCACCCTCACCCTGGGCCTGGTAGGGTTTCACAGCCATGAATGTGCGGCCAGGCACAGCCGAATAAAGTTTCCGCTTCACACCTCGACTACTCAGTGTACTGCTTCCAGCAGATTCTTTCTGGTAGCCACTGGAACTGCCAGGAGACGGAGGGAAAAAGAAGACAAGATAAAAGCAAGTACAATACAATGAATTACTTTGGACTCCTCTTCACTTTTACAGAGAAACTATATTTTTTGGCTTATTTTATTCTTCTTCTAGTAGTTCTATAGGATGTACACTACAAGTTAAATTAAAAAGATGCAATTTTCATCTTTGCCTTAGTTTGAAATTTGTATATTGTGTACCAGAATTGGGATTATAGTCTCTTTCCATGACATCTACTGAGAGGTCAAAAAGGCAATGTGGTAGTTGCAGCAGCACAATGAACCCTTAGTTCTTTGTAGATGATGATGAGGAGGAGGATTATGATGTCCTGCCCCTCAGATGTTTGTGCATTTTTCTCCTGATGAAGAATATCAACAGCAATAATACTTAGCCTTATATACCACCCACAGTGCTTTACACTGCAGTTCATAACGTCAGCATATTTTCCCCGGCAATCTGGGTCCTCATTTTACTGACCTTGGAAGGATGAAAGGCTGAGTCACCCTTGAGCTTCACCAGGATCGAACTCCAGGCAGTGGGCAGAGTTTGCCTGCAATACTGTATTCTAATCACTGCATCACCAGGGTGAGTTCTGCCACCTAGGTTCCTTTAAACATTTATTTATTTATTTATTATTAGTCGCATTTCTATGCCGCCCAACTCCCTAGGGACTCTATTTTGCTGCACTACAACTCCCAGTAGACTTAGTCAATTTAGGCAGTGGTGAAAGATGTTAGAAATATAGTTCAGCAACATCTGGTGAGCTACATACAGGTAGTCCTTCACTGTTATGTAGCCTGGAATTTCTTTTTCTTTTTTGTAAATTTTTTTATTTTATTTAAAAAAAATTAAATATAAAACTCCAAAAGATTAAAAAAACGAACAAATTACAAAGCAAGCAAGATATTAAAATGCAAGAAAAGAAAAAGAAAATGCAAGAAATAAACTAACTAAACTATACGCATATTATCCCCTCAGTTGAATACTGATTGATACATTATTGCAATATTAATTTCCATTCTTTACAAAACAGGCCACAAAAATTTTTAAACTACTAAATCTATTTGCAAATTATTAACCTATCATCCATATACTATATTAATAACAAAACATTTAATAGGAAAAACAATAATGATAAAAAAGACATAGTTAAAAGTTTCAAAATCCTCTATTAACAAACTATTGTTGTAATCAGCTCGTGAGAAATTTTCCATAGCACCTTATCATCTCAGAAGTTAATATTAATTCATTCTGGATCAAATATCCATGTTTGTTTTTTAATTCTATCTCTCATCAGTTGTTGTCTAATTAAATATAATAAGTTCAATCTTCAAAATTGGTCTCCCTTCCCAATAAAATCCAGATAAAATGTGTTCCTAATTATGTGTGATAAATCCATTCCCCAAACTCCTTCGATCCTCCTCCATTATTAATATTACTGTGGAAGTTTTAATTGTTGATGTATGATTTTAAATCCCCAGGTACTCTTGGCAAAGGCAACTGAAATAGCCAAATAAATAAATAACAAATATAAATACGTTTTAGCTCAAGATGCTCTCTCTGTTAAGAATTCAGAATCTTGGCTCCATGATAATTCTTTCATTTTTCTCATGCAACACAACCTCTGAGAATAGTAATTTTTTTTACATCACAACTTTTCCAAAACAACAAAGTTTTTTGATCACAGTTCATCTTAGAGAATCTTTAGATTCTGATATTTGTGGACCTAACTTTCTTCATACCAAGTCTTTAAGTCATGTGCTGGGTCACCATTCTAAAAACTAGATGGAAAAAACCTAAAAAAAGTAGTTGGACTCAGAACTAAAAATAATTCTAATTTCATTTCATTTAAATTCAATTAAGCAACTTTAAATTGAACATACAGGTTCCCTTTTAGTTAATAATTTTTTCTATTTGCCACATCAGAATTAACAATTTATGCCTCTTAGGGAACATTTTGGTATTAGAACCCAGTTCCCTTCCCCCCCAAAAAGCACCCTAAGAGCTTGTATTACCATTGGGGAAAGGCTTCAGGAAAAAGATCAGGCTTTCCTTAACAAAATAAGCAGGAAGAAATGCAACAGCTTAACACATTTTGAAGTAAATAATACATGAACTTTGGGCAAGCAAATATTTTACAGAAAGAGAATATATATATATATATATTGTATTTTGTTTTGTTTTAGATTTTTTTGGGGGGTGGGAGTGTTGTGCTTTTGAAGCAGTGAAGTTCCAGGAAGTTAGGCTAGAATTGGGCTTTCTTTTTATTGTTTGGGTCCCTCATTTAGCACAATAGGTATTGGAAGCTTATCACTGGTATTTGAGAGTAGGGGCAAAGAGGGGAAAACCAGTCCATTCTAAATTTGAACATAACTAGTATGCTTTTTGAGGATTTTTTTGGGCGGGAGGGGGGTGCAGCAAAAGATGAGGCTGAGAAACAATGGCTTATGCTCCATAGATTTCCTACCCCTAATGGCTCTCTCTTATATACATGCACCACTTAAGTTCATAAGCCCATGGTGAATGGGTGACCTAATATTTAATCCTTCCCTTCTTCTACCAAACCATCAGATCACATCTATTTATCCAGTTCTGAAGCATCCAATATGGACCTCCAGTCTTACCTGGGTCGACCACGCTGTTTTTTGGCCTCATCTGTGTGGCGTCCACGTGATGGCGAGCGACTGCGAGCACCACGGGGGCTGCTGGAGCTGCGCAATGTTCCTGTGGTGATCTTCTGGCCCTGGACTGCTACTGTGGCAGGTGGGATAGATGGCTGGGCATAAAGCATCCAGTCTGGAAGGTTCATGCTGGTATCGCTGTTGGCTCGCAGCAAAGTATGTGGCACTGTAAGGTTCTGAGGGCCATCCCGGCGCCGGCTGGCATATTGGGGAGTCTCCTGGAAAGGGACTAAAAAGAACGGTAGTAAAACGTTAGTAAAAAGCTAAAAAACAAAAACAGGGAGAGCTGATGCTGGAGAATGATGATGCTGTGCTTTAAAATATGCAGAAAATCCTCCTTTGAATCTGAGGAGCCAAAGCAGGGGCTTGAAAGGATTTCTGTTTCCATAGCTCAGGCTAAACTGTCTTCCCTGACCCTTGCCTACCTGCTGATGAAGATATATGATACCCATTTGTTCAATTTGAATCCTTAGATCCTTCTGGTTCTTGGCTTTGCTGAGAGAAGAGAGAACGGGGCATTAGAGAAAAGTGCACGGTGGTTAGAACGCAGTACTGCAGGCTACTTCTGCTGACTGCCATCTGCCTGCAATTTGGCAGTTCAAGTCTCACCAGACTCAAGGTTAACTCAGCCTTCCATCCTTCCGAGGTGGGTAAAATGAGGATCCAGATTGTTGGGAGCAATATGCTGACTCTGTAAACCACTTAGAGAGGGCTGTAAAGCACTATGAAGAGGTATATAAGTCTAAGTTCTATTGCTATTATGAGCGTAGTTCCTGATTTACAAATAAGAAAGTCTTGAAAGTGGGGAACTTAAGGAATGTGAAAGGAGGACAACCTAACAGGAAGGAGGCTGAGCAAGTCTTTGCCAAAATGTCCTTTGCAGACTCCCTTTTTCCTTAGCAGGTCCCTACTATAATTTGCTTGCAATGTTATAGCTATGAGTGGTGTATTGGCTGCATAGTGTTGCCAGTTGCAGGCGGACACAAGGCTGGTTATATTCCAGCAGGAGGAGTTGACTGGAGGTTATGGATCTGGTAGATGGCATGTAGATCTGAACAGGGTGCAGAATTCTCTTAAAGGGGCTCAAAGCAGAGAAATATTAATGCTAATTGACTCTGATGTTGCATGTTGACAGTTCGGGTCGCCAGGGTGCTGAACTTTGGTTCTACAAGAAGCTAGGGAAAAAAATCTGAAAGACACTTTGGTGAAGGCAAGGTAATTATTTGCTTGAGGAAAAAATGTCAGGAACAACAGGGCAGCAACTAGGAAGAAAGCTTTGCACTGAAACAATGCACCTTCTGAAATGAAAAGCAGACGCTCTGTCGCAGAGTCCAAAACATGTCAAATTCCTGTCAGCAAGAAGAGCTAAGTCACATACTAAAACCCCAGCAATGCAAAACCTCAATAATAAGTGAAATTCCTAGCTGCAGCCATCACATTTCTTATTATTCTCGTCTCCCTAGAGATAAGGCAGCAAAAGAAAGGAATGGTACAATCCATATTCTATTGTACTCATAAGGGCTTTTTAATTGTGTTTATTTATTGTGTTTATATGATTTCTAGCCTAATTTACTAACAAAAATAATCCAAACATTGCCATATGAATTTAGAATGAGACAATAATTTTTATAGGGAAAAAAAGCAAAAAGCAAGGTAAACATCACTGGTACAAAAATGCTTTATGCTACATTTAAACTGTTTCAGTTCCCAGGGTGATTTTTCCCATATCTCTCCACAAAGAACTTGGAAATTATTAGTTTTGTCTAAGTTCTGAAATGTTTGCTAGTAATCCTTAGCTTATCTGGAGAACTACATGTTCAGGGTTTTTATTTGTATATAAGTTTGGAGATGTGGTGGATCAAGAACTGTGATATGTACAAAAGCAGGTAATCCTTGTTTAGCAACTACAATTGGAACCAGCAACTCAGTTGTTAAGCAAAGCAGTCACTAAGTGAAATCACAATTGCATTTACGATCTCACTACAACTTTCATAGACAGAATGTGAGGATTGTCTGTAAAATTACTTTTTCATCACCTTCATAAGTTGCTAAATAAGTCACTAAACAAGACTAGCTGTACTTTTGTAGAGCATTCACATCAATCTCCTTTCCTCAAATCAAACTTACCTACATCTGAATCTCGATGGCTTTTGATCAGCTCCCCCAACTCAAAATTTCCTGCAATGACTGCAACCTAAGATAGAAAGAAAATGTATCCATGTAAACATAATCTTTCTTGCTCTACCTCTTTTTATATATATTGTTAATGTGGAACTTGAAGTGCCAAGATGACTACCAATCCCCCTCCCAAAACAGTAGAATTTTAAAACCCCTGAAATCTTGTTAGATTTCAATATTCTTGCCCAGGTATGAAAAGTGGCCTGAAAATGCTGCTGTCTTATCTCTACATACAGATAGTCCTTGATTTGTTAACCACAATTGGGACCAGAATGTGCTTGTAAAGTCACATGACCATATTGCTTAGAGACAGCAATCCCAGCATTCCCTGTTGCTGTCATTAAGCAAATTCCATTGCCCATTAGACAAGGACCCACCCCAATCTAAGCCATTCTGGGCTTGTTTCCCGAGATTTGGTAAGATAAGGGACTGCCTCCAACTCCCCCCATCTTCCTATCTTCCCCTCATCTCTGCTCTTTTGGCCACCCTGCACTCTACCTTGGGGCTTCTTGGTGTGTTGTGACTCTAGGATTACAAGAAACCTGAGCATAATGCAAAGCCACATCCGCCTCTGGAAGCCTCAGCCACCCAAGCAGTGAGATGCAAAGCCACCGTGCCCTGAGAAGCTCCAACAGCCCTGTACAAATCCGCAGTAGCCTGGGAAGCTCCAACAGCAGCGGTCTGGGAAGCTAGCAGCATGGCGCAAAACCAAAGCAGCCCAGAAAGCTCCAGCAATGTGGTGCAAAGCCATAGCTATGCCAGGAAGACCCAGCCAACCCAGCCCAGAGACCCTTGTTGCTCTGCATTTTGAGATGCCAGCTAACCTTTTCTGTCTTCTTATTCCCACTCTAGATGAGGTGTGGAAAAGGTTTTGACTCTACACCTGAGGTTTTGACTCTACATCTGACAGCTACTGGCCACATGTGGCCATGTTTTCCAGGTCTCACAAGGAAACTACTGTACCTGATCTTGGTGAGAAAGCCTCATGTAACCAGCAGCTGCCTTGTGAAGGGTCAGGCTGGGCATGCTTGGTCAGCAGTGGGAGCAAGAAGATGGCGAATGTCAGCTAGGGCAGCAGGGTTTCTAGAGTGCAGGGAGCCCAAGTGGCATAGATGGGGGAGAGAAAAGTGGATAGGGGGAACTGAAGCACCACTGTGATCATAAGTGTGAGCAGACTATCAAGCATCTGAATTTTGATCACGTGACTTGGGGGGGGGGTTGCTACAACAGCTGCAACTTCAGGGACCAGTCGTAAGCCCCTTTGTTCAGTGCTGCAGTAACTTTGAATGGTTGCTGAAGGAATGTAACTCAAGGACTACCTGTATGAGAAATAGGCACTGAGAAATCCCTAAGAAACTGGGTATTTCTCAAGAGTGATCTTTAATTCAAGCTGGGGAAGATGACCATTCTGCTTCAACACATCTGACTAATACCAGATTGGCAAAGGCTGGCAAAAGCAACATCCATGCTTACAAGGAAAGACTATATGCAGAATCTACCTTCTGATGTCTTCAATACCTTATTTTATTCCAATATCATCTGAGTCCGATGTTGAGCCAATGCTAGGGGGACATGAGTCGTTCTCAGTTTTGGAGATTTGAGACAAGGAGAGGATAGGGCTCTACTCCCTCCTCCCAATTATCTCCTAGGTCATACAGGTGATGATACCCTGGGACTGCAGTACTAGTGACAACTTGGGGACCTTAGTGCCAAAATCAAGAATTTATAGAAACTGGCAAGATATATGTTACAAATGTACCAATTTCCTTGAGAAAAAATATGAACAAAAAATGGTACTGTGATGTCTGCAAATTGAGACATAGGAGTCATGACACAATTACTCCTTCTCCTAAAATATCAAATTAAATCTACAAACACCCACATTTAGAGGCTCTAATGCAGAAGCACTAGAAAAGAGGGAAGGTCAGGGGCTCTGCCCTATGATGCCTGGGATCAAACTGCCAACATGCTCTGCTCTTAATTCTCTCTTGGAGTCAGCTCACTGCACACCTGGAAGGCAGTTTGACCATGGTTGTTCTTGATCTCTTTGTTAGCTCCTCGGTATAACAGGATTCGGGCACAGCTTTCCTGGGAAACAGAGAGGGGAGAAGAGAGAGGAAGAGAGCCCAAGGAGAAATACATAAGAGACAGCTTCCATGTTTAGCAATTTCAATGGACAGAGGGGAGAGTATTAGGAATAGACTTTTTAGAGATGGAGCTGATTTTGGTTCTTTTTACATTTCAGTGCAGATTAAGTCTGTACTTCTTAAATGTATATTATATGTATATTATGTTTCATTATATGTATATTACATTCTATATTATAATATATTATTATACTATACTATACTATACTATACTATACTATACTATACTATACTATACTATACTATACTAATTTTTCTCAGAATAAATTTTGAAGTTTGAACTTTTTGGGCCACATTTGGTATTTCTGAGAAAAATAAATGGCTGCCATGAGGAGGAATCACCCATCACAAAATGGTTGCCATGGGGAGTGGTGCATAGCCCATCACAATAGATTTATTTCACAGAAAAGAACATTTAGGAAGCTGAAGACAATGGAAGGCACTGATTTCTGGTCAGACCCTATATTTTACTTCCTAAAAATGTATCTTAGTCTATGTGGGTCCAAAGACAATCAGGAAATAAACTCAGCAGGGAGGTGCATTCCAATGTTTCACGATGAATTAGTCCCCATTAACGGAAATTAAAACTTAAAGTGAGGCTGGCAAAATGAGAAGCTGGTAAATCCAAACAGATCAAATTATTCTTTCCTCTCCCTCTTCACTATATAGATAGGGCACAGTTTGTCTTGAGCATTTGGCAGAAGATGATCTTTGATCAAGATGTGCAAGATTTTGAAAGACACTGGAAATCACTATGTGTAAGCTGGGAAACTATAAATTTATTTATTAAATAAATAAACAAACACAATTTAAACAAGCAAAATGGTGGCTGTGCACATACAAAATAGGCATGGTTTTCATCTTATAGTTGTGGCTTCTATGTTAACTTATTTGACCATCCTTGTGAACAGCTCTTCCTCGGATTACAATTCTGGGCAGATCAGTATTTTTCAAAGCTGAAATCTGGAAAAAAAAGCTGCTTTTGGGTGGAATGCAGTACTAATATTAATATTACTGGAATCCTTCTAAATTGGCCAGGTTGCCTTCAAGTTGCTTTCAATATCCTCACAAATTGTAATGGAATATGGGAAGTGGAGGATGGGGGAGGGCAGAATCCTCTTTTTTATGTTCCTCTAAACCAGGCGTATTAAATTCAATCGTGTCACAGGCCAGATCGTGACGTATCTCAATATTTTTTGCATTTGCGGAACCAAGGTGGGCGTGGCCTGTGTATGATGTATCCAGCCTGCCAGTTTGAGAGGCCTGCTCTAAACAGTGCTTCTCAACTTGGCAGCTTTAACATTAGTGGACTTCAACTCCCAGCATCCCCCAGCAAGCATGCTGGCTAAGGGATTCTGGAAGTTGGAAGTCCATACATCTTAAAGTTGCCAAATTGAGAAACACTGCCCTAAAACATAATTGTAAATGGCTGTTTCCTGTTTAGTTAAAGGAAATTTCTCATGTTATCAAATTCCAGAGTAAATCATCAATTCTACAGGAATAGATTCTTGGCTTTACTGGCATGACTTTTTAATATTTTTTAAATATTTTAATATTACTGGCATGTTAATATATATTAACTTTACTGGCATGACTTTTTAATATTTTTTTTAATATTCAGAGATGTTTTGCAATTTGGAGGTGTACACATTTAAAATGAGAGCCATTCAGTGTAGTTGTTAAGGCACCGGACTAGAAAGCACAAGACCGTGAGTTCTATCCTGCTTTAGGCACAAAGCCAACTTAGATCAGAGAGTTCCACTCAGCCTACGAAAGAGGCAATGGCCATTTCCTTGCCAAGAAAACTACAGGGACTTGTCCAAACAATATCTGAGAAATGGACACAACTAAATGGAAGAAAAAAATTAAAATAAATAAATGAATCTTCCTTTTCCGTCTAATGGCAGAAAATCCCAAAGAAAGCAAATTTAGATTTTGAACCTAGACCCAGATAAATCCTCTCCTTTAGATGATGAATAAAAAATGATGGAGGTTAGAAAAGGAATTCACAAGGTTTCTGCCATCTGTCTGATAAACTAATTAATTAAAAATATTGCTAAAACTTTGGAATAAAGAAGCTGGTATGCCATGCACTGCACTGCACTGCTAATGGCATCAACAACTATCAGGAAAGTTACTATATTGTTATTTTTATAACTAGGTGCTATGTGAAATGCTGCCATGATACAAATGAGAATACTTATCTATAAGAGGACATATATTATTACCACTGTTTATAGATTATGCCTAGAATGAAAGGGAGGCTTAATTCCATACTTTCTGACATATATAGGAAGACTGAGTGAAAAACCTCCAGATAAGCAGATTTATTTGGAGAAAAAAGGAAGCAAATGAGAGAAGGGAGGAGAGGAGGAGGAGCAGGAGATGCAGATGTTCAAATAACAGTAATAAAGTAAATCTAATTCAGTTGGTTTCATTTTATCTACTTGAATAGATTGATGCACTTCACAATATATGAAGAGTTATTTGCAGGAAATGTTTCTTGCAAAGTAGTTCTGGTCAATTGATTGTATAATTCTGAAGACAATAAACTAAGGGAACCCACAAATTTATGGGGGTTTGAGGACAATGATAGCTAGCCTTCCTGAGATAGAGTGTAGGCTGGATCTATAGTAAAATAAGCTACCTATCGGATGCAGGTGATCAAGATAGCCTTTCAAATTTTACACAGAAAAATGATTTCAACTTCACAATACTTTTCGTCTTCCATGAGACAAAATTGTCTCAGGCATTTGGACAACCGTTTGTCTGAAATGATTTACCTGCTTAAGCTTAAGCAGGGGATTGAACTAGAAGACCTCCAATGTCCTTCCAACTCTGGTATTCTGTTTATTTGGGACGGGATGTAGGAAATTGTCCTAGTACATTTTTGTAATTTGGTGACAAAGCATATACATATTTAAACCAATCAAAATATTAAACCCATTAGTTAGTTTAGATATAAGGGGAATTAAATTGGCAAAGTGAAGTGCAAATATACACCAAGAATAATGAACAATGCGGGTATCAGCCCCATTAGAAAGACTGGGAAATCAATTCTATGTGAAGGCTAAAAGTATTTGTACTGAGAATAGCTACAATACAGAATCTTGCAAGTTTACTTCTATTTTTCCTTCCCTATTTCTTATACCCACTGAATTAGGGAGACATTGACATTGGAGACACTGACATTAGGGAGATCTGCTTGTCAATATTATCTCCAAAACACTGCTTCAACCCCTTTTGCCTAGATAATGGTTCCAGCATATCACTGTCAAGATCATCATCCTTACTCTCTACAACAGGAGTCCTCAGCAGGAGTCCAGACTTCCAGATGCTTTAATTCACTTTATTGATTAATGTTAGAGTATAAAAATTAATCATTCTTACCTTGTTGTAGAGTGCACAGATGTGCAATGCTGTATTCCCGGATGCGTTCTGTGCACCTGGCTCAGCACCGTAAAAGAGCAGGTGTTCCAAATGCTGGGAATTTCCATGTTGGCAGGCCTGGTACGTGGAGAAGCAGAGGTCAGGAATGGAAGGTAGGGCTAGATGGTCAGATGGACAGGTGCAAGTCACAGCCACCCCCCTCAATCTTTAGACTTCAAGCCAGCCCTAGCAGGAAACACATACAGGGCATAAGATGGGTTGCTAGCTCCCTTGCCCACACAATTGAGTCACCACGCATGGAAATTTGGGATGGCTGGATTTTGACTGGTATGCAGGACCTTACCTGGTGTATTTCTTGCCAGCCATTCTCATCAGTGGTGCCAATATAGGCTCGATTGTACAGCAGAAGTTCACAGCAGTGTGGGTCACCTCCAACCATAGCTGTATGGTAGAGTGGGGTCAGCCCACGGCGGTCCTTGTAATTGGGGGAGCCACCCAGGTCCAAGAGAGCCTATGTAAGCCAGAAAGAAAAATATAGCTGAGCCATGGCAGCATCAGTCCAACATTACTTCCTATCCTGAGTGAAGTCAAACTTGATCTACGGCAATTTTGTGGGCATCAAGCAGCATTAGTGGTAACACATAGACCTGACCATGTTTTTCTTACTTTTATTTTTAAAATCCATTATTTCAACTCACAATGCCTCCAGAAATTGTGGGTGCTTCAACATTAAGAAAAGATTGGATAACAGTTTGTCTGAAATGGTATAAGATTTCCTGTTTGAGCGGGTGTATGTGTGAACTTGAAGACCTCCAACGTCCCTTCCAACTCTGTTATTCTATTAACTCTTTCTCTTTTGTGAAAGGATACCTAGATGAAATCAAATCTTTTAAAAAATGAGTTATTATCTTAGCCATAGGCTTCTCTGTCATTTCTCCAAAACTGCAATAAATAGCTTCCTCTTCCCCGAGTATATTAAACCCAGGACTTCTTGAATATTATCTCAGGCATTCTGAAAGTATATTCTATGAATTACTGATGAAAAAATTACACATCCCTTCTCTGTATTAGAAGAGCCCATTACCTGGATTATTATAATTGTTTTTTTATCTTAATTTTGGGTGCTATCAGAGAGAGAGAGAGAGAGAGAGAGAGACAGAGACAGAGACAGAGACAGAGAAGGAGACAGAGAGGGAGAGATGGACGGATGGACGGACAAACAGACAGACAGATATAAAATGCCAATAGGCAGAAAAAGGCTGGTTTAGATCTTTATGTGCTCCTTTCACTCTTGCCATATATGTATAGATATATAGGGTATCTATATCTATTTGTTTTCTCAGGTTTTCGCGGGTGTTTGTATGTAGGTCTTTGGTTATTCGGGTCTTCTCCCACGTAAAATTGGAAGTGTCTTGGCGACGTTTCGACGAAGTCTCATTCGTCATCTTCAGGCTGGTGTTCTCGGCTTCGTGCTTCCAGGAGCAATGTGAGATCGCAGCTGTCTACAGCTGCGATCTCACATTGCTCCTGGAAGCACGAAGCCGAGAACACCAGCCTGAAGATGACGAATGAGACTTCGTCGAAACGTCACCAAGACACTTCCAATTTTACGTGGGAGAAGACCCGAATAACCAAAGACCTACATCTATATCTATATCTATATCTATATCTATATCTATATCTATATCTATATCTGTATCTGTATCTATATCTGTATATATCTCTCTCTCTATCCTATAAAATGTACATTATTAGTTCACTGTGCAAATAGGCAGAAAATTAAAAGGGCTGGTTTGGATCTCTGTGTGCTTCTTTCACCCTTGCCATAATCTCCAAGTACAAATTATTATTTGACTTTACCATGAGGGCCGAATAGTGATGAGAACAGACAGCTCTGTGAAGTGCTGTGGCTCCATCTCTTGCCCGGAAATCTATGTGGGCACCGCCAAGGCACAGTAGCCGGATCACATCAATGGTCCCATCTAATTGGGCAGCCAAAGTCAAAGGTGTTTCTGCAGAGAAAACCTTGCATTATTACTATGGAGAGGGATGTTGTGTAGCTGGCATCCAAGTCATTCTTCCCTCCCTCTTTGTGTTTCCCAGATGGCACTTACCACCGGTGTCAGAATCATGATAGTTTGGATCGAGCCCTTTATCCAAGAGCCGGGCCACTTTTTCAGCTGCTCCATGTTGCACATATTCCAGGAACTTCTTCAAACCCGTCTGGGGAATGATTTGTCAGGGATAACCAATGAGGATTGGGAGAGAGATGGGAAGGAAAAAGTACAATGTAGGTTTAAAAGAGGAATAAAGCTGAGCTCAACCAAAAACTCAAGCCATTCATAACTTCTTGAGGCTGTATGAATTTTAGTTTAAACAAAGAACAACTGTCCTCAACAATCCTCTCATCCACCCATGTTAGAGCAAACAACTGTCGTCAACTACAAGCTTCATTTTACTTTTTACACTAATTGTGTGTTTATTTGTTTGCCTCCAAAATTTACTAAAAAGCTTACTAAAACTTGCCTTAAAATTACTAAAGGTTGAGGGGTCCTTGGTGTCCTCTGAGCTTGCTTGTTTTCTTGCAGACATTTTATTAACCTAACTAGGTAACATCATCAGTGCTGTTTGCTGTCAGTTTACATTCTGGTGTCTTGCCTGTTTGTGTGGGTGGGGGTGGTTTTAGAGGTTCTTTGGTTGGGCTGTTTACTGATGGCTCTTTTGCAGTTTTTTGATTGGGCTATTGCTTACTTGATTGTTGGTCTGAAGTTAACCTTAGAGTTAATCTATGTTGATCTAGGTGCTGATTACTGGTGGAAAGGTGCTGGAGTCTTTTTGTTCTCTTTTGGGCTCGCTGATTGTCTCTTTCACATTGTCTATAGATGTTGTTAATGTCTATAGGTCTATTGATTCCCTGGCATTTTTGGACTTGGCCTGATCTAGGATTGTCACATTTTCTCAATTGAAACTATGGTTAAATCTAAAAGTTTAACTCCTTTATTTTGGAATTTGTTAAAAAAGGGAACATTTCAGAGCCAAAAACAGGCAATCTGCTGCAAAATTCTGACAATATTTTAGGAATGTTTGAAGATAGTGCAGAGAGCTATAGGTTGTCTGCCCCTTACTAAACAGAAACATCTGCTAGCCCATACTCTTCTTTGTAATATGTCTTATTAATGCTGGCATGTCAATAAGGTGACCAAACAACCAGCCTGATCTTTTATTCTTATTAATTTGCTAGGAGGCTAGTACCTCTTAGAAGGAGTAGGGAAGAATAAATAGAAAGTAAGTTCTTATACTTTGTCTTATTTGCATAATAGACGCCTAAAAGGACAGGCCAACTTTGCATATTGGACGATAATTCAAAATGTTAAGATTTTTACAGCCAATTTAGATACTCTCCAGAGACTGAATGTTTTATTTTTTCCATAGAAGTTTAGAAAACTCTTCTTTTTTCACCTTTGTGTGGAGTTTTGCTAGCTGCTTCTCATCAAGGTTGGTTTGCTTGTATACTCGTGTCTTGTAGCGGAACTGCAAGGAAGATGACAATAAGAGGATCAGAGAGAATGGGAAGGTGGGTCATTGACTGCAGCTGTACACAGAATGGATACATTTGCAGCCTCAGGTAAAACATGAATGAACGTAAATATGTAAATAAACGTAAATAAAGTGATGGTTTCTTTCTCCCACACAGATGCTACCCATTCATGGCTTATTTGAAAGCTATGCTGAATGGCACAATTCTGCAAATTTAAAACAAATAATGGATTCCTTCTCTGGCACCTTCTGGCATCACTTTTTCACAAGACACCAGATGCAAAAACCTTGATGGATTGCTTACAGGTGTGTAATCACAGTTGTTGCCTAAACATTTCCAGAATCCTCGTAAGCATCTGTTTGACTTGGGCAGTTGCCATTCTTCTTCCCTGGCCTGACGCCCTCCCTCCATACATTAATTTTCTTGGAGTGACACTCTTAATTGGCATCAAATGATCAGGTCCAATTTTTAATTTCCAATGATGCCAAATAATTAGTACTGCCCTGAGGCAGAAAATCAAAAGCACAGTTGGGTCCAGCAGGTTTGGGCTATTGGCTATAGATCCCTCCAGTATTTCTTGACAATATGGTGAAATGGTGCAGAGGCAGTGGTGAAATCCAAATTTTTTTACTACTGGTTCTGGGGGCATGGCTTAGTGGGTATGGTATGGCTTGGTGGGCGTGGCTGGGGAAGGATACTGCAAAATCTCCATTTCTACCCCACTCCAGGGGAAGGATACTGCAAAATCCCTATTCCCACCCCACTCTGGGGCCAGCCAGAGGTGGTATTTCCCGGTTCTCTGAACTACTCAAAATTTCCGCTACCAGTTCTCCAGAACCTGTCAGAATCTGCTGGATTTCACCCCTGGGCAGAGGACACTTCATTCATAGCTTCACCTAAATCTAAAGCCATTCCTGGTTCTTTTATTCAGAGCTGTACAATTTGTAGGCTGCATATGACGTCTGGTACATGTTTTGCAGCCTCCTAAGGCCCAACACATCAATCCCAGAACAAGCCTGCTTTTGGGAATGGTGGGGGGAAGAAATTGAATATTTTTTTTTATTGGTGCCTTAAGATTTTTCAATCCATTCCATCCCTTTAACCTTAGTAATCAGTGATCAGTAATCATACTGATACTCTCCCATCCAATAAAATTATTTTTTCGGATATGGGGTTTACCCACCAGAAAGAGGCATCTGCAGGGAAGGTCAAGAGTGGGCAAATGACAAAAGGAACATCGTACTAATCTGATGCAAATTGCACTGCACATTGCACACCTGTTATTTAGTTAAAATTTAGACAAAATTAATGATTGCATGCTGCTGAATGCTGCAGGATGAAATGTGTGAGAAATACTGAATTCAGAATACTCTATGGGCTTGTAGCATTTATGTACACATTTCTGTGAGTGCCTATGGATAGAAAAAAGAATGTCCAGTTCTACCTCCTTTGAGCATAGATCTGAAAGAAATGCATCATCTTTGAATATTCATATGATTCAGTACCTCCCACTCATCAAGAAATGACTCAAGACAAATCTATATTTCCAGACCTTAGCTGATTTATCATTTTTCCTGTTGTCTTACCTTGTCCTTCCCACTCTCCTGCATGTCATGCATCTGATTAATCATATTGCAAGTTTACGGGCAAGGCTTCCTTACTGTTAATCTGATTATTACCAGTCCTTCAACCTCATTGAAGGTTTTAACAGGACTTAAGCATGACTAACTTCCAGATCCAAACTGTTATAGGCTGTATTTGACTGTAGCTTAATAGAAGGCAGTTACAGTTCTGGAAAGAAAGACATCCAACTTTCATCATTCCCCTATATTCCATAATTTTTCAAAACTCTTCCACATTGTAGGATCAGTGTCTTTGTGTACCCAAGGATTGTTAGGAAGATGGATACATAATCTTGGATGTCCAATAAAAGTTAGATATATTTGATGCATTCTTCTTTAATCTTGAGAAAACTCTATTCCTATTATGAATGTAAAGGAAATAGATAAATGCTTAACAACATTGTGTTTTAGTTACTGTAATTTATAAAAAACAAGTGGCTGACATTTTACTTGTGAAGCAACTGGCAAGCAAGAGAAAATTTGCACATACAGGTAGTCCTCAACTTACAGCAGTTCATTTTGTGACCATTTGAAGTTACAACACTGGAAAAAAATGACTTGTTAGTTTTTCACACATATGACTTTTGCAGCATTCCCACAGTCATGTGATCAAAATTTAGACGTTTGGCAGTTGACTCGTATTTATTATGGTTGCAGTGTCCCAGGGCCATGTGATTCCCTTTTGCTACCCTCTGCCAAGCAAAGTCAATGGGGAAGCCAGATTCACCTAACAACCATGTTACTAACTTAACAACTGCAGTGATTCACTTAACAATTGTATCAAGAAAGGTCACAAAATGGGCCAAAGCTCACTTAACTCAGTGGTGAAATGCTACCAGTTCGCACTGGTTCAGGTGAACCGGTAGTGATAAAAACTACCGGTTCGCGTGAACTGGTAGCAAAAAAAAAGCTACCGGTTCATCTGAACCGGTATTTCCGACGATCAGCTGTGCCGCGCGATTTAAAATCTAAATCACGCAGCAATCGCAGTCGCGTGGTGAATCTAAATCATGTGGCAAATCCCCCCCTTGCTGCTCTACTTACCTTCCCAAACCTCCTTTTGGTGTGCACTGTGCAATGCGCTTGGTGCGCAGCGCAGATGTGCGGCTAGCGAACCGGTGGCAATCTGGTTCAGATTTCACCAATTTAACTGTCTCGTTTAACAACAAAATATTTGGCCTCAATTGTGGTCATAAATCAAGGATTACCTATATAATGGAATATTTTTTTAAAACTGCAGAGCCTCATGAAGGCTTAGCATATTAATATAAATATAAATATAAAATCCAGTGTGAAGCCTTTCCTTTCCTGAATGCTACTTAGTGATTACCATGGAAGAATGAGAAGGAAATCAGCCTTGTCCTGAGAATCCATGCATCAGTAAGTCAAGCCAGATGGTTATAGATATAAATAGTCCTTGTTTAATAACCACAGTTGGGACTGGAAACTCGGTCATTAAGTGAAGTGATCCCTAAATGAAACATCACTCTTTTACAATTTTGCTTCAGCTTTCCTTTGCAACAGACTTGTGAAGGTTGTAAATGTGAGGACATTTTTCATCACCATCGTAACTAGAAATGGTTGCTAAACAAGGCATTTCTTAAAGAAAGTCTCCCTGTATTTACATCTATAGGGAAAGAGTGGTTAACCTATAGCCAAAATGCAAATTTGTGGCTTCTGCAAGTCTTACCAAATTTCAGTAATGATTTTCTCATCAATTTTCAGTAAAAATGGAAAAAGTGGAGTATAGTCCTTTATTTAGATTTTATAGAGCAATTCTTCCCAAATATCCCTTTCCTCCCAAACACACACACACACACACACACACACACACACACACACACACACACACGTTCCAGGAAATACAAGTCCTGCCCATTTTGATGATAATAATATATTGTTGCCCCAACTATTAACCACCATTTATTTTATTGACATGATGGCCATGGCTACTAAAAATTTTTCCCCAGGCTCGAAAGTTCTCAGTCTGCGGTTCTGGCCAGTTTATCACTCTCCTCAAGACTTGAAAGCATTAGTGAGTAAAGAAACATCTGATGAAGAGCAAGAAATGAGTATGATGATAGGCCCTTCATAAAAGAAAAATATGAGTTAGGTGGCTGGAAGCGGTTGCCTCTATGCTCCATTTAAAAGCATAATACATTAATTCCCTTACATAAAAGCAAGCTGAACCAACTACCCATTATCTTGGAGATGCATAGACAACAGGAGCAGTGGAACACAGAGACTTGTCCCGCATTGAGTTCACAGCCACATTGGTTCAGTTCGCTACAAAGGTAGGCAAGGAAATATCTGGTACTTTAAAATAAAACTTGGCTGGGCAGCACGGTACTTTTATTTTATGTACAATTATTGACTAGCCGTTAGCAACCAGCAAGGTGAAGAAGATGAAATGGTAGCTTTGCTCTTAGTAGTAGTAGGAATAATAGGAAACAAAGGTGAGTCAAGTGATAGAAGCCTTGAGAAGAAGGAAACCAGAACCAAAAATATCATCTTGCCTAGGAACCATTTAGATGAGAAATGCTTCTCAAGTTACTGATGACGTAAGCAGCCTTTCCTAGTCTTTGGTTTTGCAAATAGTGGACTACTGTATGCACAAACTGCTATTTGTTTTTTTTTAAATAAACTACCAGTGTTCTCTCATAATGCTCATCCCTCTCTGACCCAAGAGTGCTGTCAGATAAGCAGCAACCTTACCTCAAGATAGGGTACCCCCTTTTCAAAACTCTGTGGGTACTCGCGCAAGAGTCGCTCTTCATCTAGGAATTTCGCATCCCGGCCATTGGTGGCTGGCTGGAAGAGTCCATAATTTAGAACATCCTTGAGGCTTTCGTTGAGGGTGCAGAGAATTTGTTGTTTTGCCACCCAAATGGCTGCATCAGGGTTGAAACGTAGGCATTTCTAATGCAGAAACAGGCCATGCAAGAAAAGGGTGTAGATAGAAAGCAAAACAATTCCATCAAATTGGCCCCAAATAATAGCATGATTCTGCCCCAAGGGAGCACTGTGTGTTCTATAATAATGCTTTTTAGCTTTGCATATAAGTCTCTTTTTTTTTTCCTTCTGTGATAGCAAACCTTGGTTAATCTGAAATAGCTAAAATGGGTCAGTCTAGTTAGTAAGGTGATGGAGAGCTTTGGGTATGGTTTCAAAAAGGCATTTTGGAGCATGCAGGAGCATAAATATAGAACCCATCTGCTGCACAAAATCCAGGGAAAAGGCCCAGCTGCTTAAAACAGCTTGTGTTCCTGAACACTTTGAAGCACCTTTCTGAAACTCAGCCTAAAGCACAAACAGCCCTAGTGGTTTGAACTTAGATGGGAGACCTCTAGGCAATATCAAGATTAAAGTGTCATTCTAAGGGGTTTTTTTTTTTGTGTGTGTGTGTTTTTTTTACCAGTTATGAGTATATTATAGGGAAGTCTGGGGGGGAGGGGAGGGTTAGGGAGGGTTAGGGAGGTTGGGAAGTTTGGGGGGGAGGTGGGGGGGGAAAGGGGTGAAAATGTAATTGTAAAACTTTTGCAATAAAAAAAAAAGATTAAAGGCTAGACTCTTGGAAGAAGGTGGTGGCAAAACACTTCTATATTCTTGCCAAGAAAGCTATCGATGCGTTCATGAAATTACATCTCAACCTGGAGAAAACTTATTTTAATATCAGAGAGAGATTGAGCAGGCCACACAGTCTCACAGATACAAAGAATTTCTGGATTCAATTAAGCCATTTTTAATGAGAAGAGCACCAGGCAGGAGAGAACCTAAATCTTGGCAAACCTCTGTCCATAGCCAGAAATGTTCCAATAAGGAATCTGGAAATATTGTATCGTGATAGAAAATCAATCCATGTGAGCAGTGGCTTAAAAGTAGCTTGCATTTATACTTATTTAGGTGCATTAAATAAGTTTTAATACAATGTTATTTTAATATTAGCACTCTTCAGTTATTCTACTGCCTTTGCATTCAACCTTTGGTTTGGCCATTTTGCAGAATCTGAATTTTTCCTCATATGTCCATAAATGAAACAGAGGAATTTGCATTCTTAATTGAAACTCATTGTTCAAGTAAAGCAGTTGCTGCCTTTCCAAGGGAGCCCAACTTTTACAGACCTTCTAAAATGATGACATAGGGCACCTCTGGCCATCATTTTATTTTTTTTTAAAAATATACTCTTTTAACACTGAGTGAGCAGTAGCGCAGAGGTGATTCTACTGAAAGTGCCAGCATTCGTTCAGAAAAATTGCAATCACGAGTAATATATCTACTGAGTTTCCCTCAGATGTATCCATTTTGATGGAAGTTGTAGCCCAACATATAAAGGCTGCTGCAAACAATGGTATTTTAGACTTTAGATATAATGAAAATAGTGGATGTGTCTTTAAATAGTTATTTGTTTTTATTATTATTATTATTATTATTATTATTATTATTATTATTATCATCATCATCATCATCATCATCATCATCATCATCATCATCATTATTATTGGTTCAATTTATATAGCGCCCTTCTCCTATTGCACTCAGGGTGGTGCACAGCCAAGGATAAAAAACATACCAATATAAAATTTAAAATCAATTAAAAGAATTATACAGCTTTGGCCCACAATTTAAAACAATCCAATTAAAACCCAATTTACACTTAAAAAGCTAAAAAGCTAAAAAGAACTAAAAAAAAGGGGGGGGGTTTCATGCCAGCCCTGCTTGATGGAAAAGAAAAGTTTTTAGGGCACGGCGAAAGGCCTGGAGATCTGGTATCCTTTGTATCTCCGGGGGCAAATCGTTCCAGAGGGCAGGTACTGCCACAGAGAAGGCCCTCCCCCTGGGGGTCGCCAGCCGACATTGCCTGGCTGATGGCACCCTGAGGAGTCCCTCTCTGTGGGAGCATACTGGTCGGTGGGAAGCTATCGGCGGCAGAAGGCGGTCTCGCAAATACCCAGGTCCAATGCTTTTAATGTTGCTTATATCAAAAAATGAGCAATTCCAGGGCCTTTCAATTCATTTTGAGCACTAGGATTCTGCTCATATTTTCCCATAATTTCCTCTCACAGATCTATTGTATCAGCTTCTCAGTGTTAATGTTTCTTATGTGATCCATCATTTGTTTGTTGCCCATAGGAGATATGAAAATGTGATAGTAGCAGGATGCTATGTAAGGGAAACTATGTTAGATCTACTTGTCCCACCAAGTCTAGCAAGAGAGGCATGTTGCAGGTCCCATTTATGAAAGAGTATCATCTAGTGCAAGGGTGTCATTGATTCAATTTCATTGAGGGATGCATCAGGGTTGTGTTTGACCTCGGGAGGGGGTGGTGTCTAGGTGGGTGTGGCCATGGTGGGCATGGCCAGCTTTACATAACCTGTGTCAGGGCACCTATGGTGGGCCAGTCAGAAATGGGGGGATTCACTTTTGCTAGTAGTTTGTTTTGCTAGCACTCTGCCAGCAAAAACGGAGCTTGGGGGGGGCGGTCCCCCCAGGCTCCATTTTCTGCTGTGACTGCCTCCTGCAGCCCTCTGCCAGAAAAAAAGGCCACCACTCCGCCCCCCCCCCCAGCTCTGTTTTTGCTGGTAGAGGCACCACAGGCCAGCCCTTCATTTCCAGGGCGGTCCCATGGGCTGGATCTGGCCCACAGGCCTTGAGTTTGATACCCCTGATCTAGTGTGACCCAGGGGAAAAATTTTTCTTCATTGGGGCACCCAATCTATACAACAAACCTTTGCCCTGGGTCTTGGATTGGCCTGACTCTCCTAGCCTTTAAGAAGACCCTGAAGATATGGCTCTGCTGCTATGCCTGAAGGGCCAGCAATGGTGGGGAATTCCTCTAATGGCGGTGTTGAATTGATGTAGGATGCATTCTGCCACTGATCATGATTTTGTTTTTTAAAATTGATTACGGATTGTTTTTATATGTTTGTATGTGGCTAGTCCTTGATTAACAATGATAATGATCTATCACTATTGTTGTATGTACACTGAGAGCTTATGCACGGGAGACAAATTCCTTGTCTAATCATACTTGGCCAATAAAGAATTCTAATTCTAATTGGGGTCAGAATTTCCATTGCTAAGTGATGCAGTCATAGGGCGCAATGTCAAATGGCTACATCATTGAGCAATTGTATCCCAGGACTCCCAGTTGCTGTCATTAAGCAAGGATCGTGGGTCCTTAAGCAAGTCCCAGGCTACTTGCAACAGGCAAGCAGACAGTTAAAGTGCAATGTAAGGTGCAGCATGTGGTGTGATTGGAGATGATTGCTACTAAACGGGATGGTGAGTAAGGGCACATCAAGTTGCAGTGTAAGTATAGCAAAATAATTGCTGCTGGGTGACTTACAGGAGTGACTTCTGATCTTTCCTGCCTGCTTCCCTGTTGACTTTGCTTATGGGAATCTGGCAAGGAAGACTGCAAATAGTGATCACGTGTCTGTGGGACACTGAAACCATTGCAAGTGTGAGCCAGTTGCCAAGTGCCCAAATCACAATCACATGATCATAGCATTACTAGGATAGAACAGTGAGAAGTATGAATGTAGCTTGGAGAAGTCACCAAATGAGTGGTTATTAAATGGGGACAACCTGTATTGGTTTCTTACTTGATCTTATTGGACTGTTTTTACCTGCTACGGCAGGGATGCCAAAGTCAGAGCCAGCCCTCAGGGTGCTTAGATCTGGTCTGTAGGGTCATCCTGGAAACAACAAATGACTGGCCTGTGGTGCCTCTCACCGTTTTCACTGGCAGAGAGGCCAAAACGGAGCCTGGGCAGGCCATGTTTTTGCTGGCAGAGGGTTGCAGGAGGCTGTCTTAGTCAAAAACGGAGCTTCAATGAATGATGTGGAGCTGGCCATGCCCACTCCAGCCACGCCATGCCCTCCCCAAGGTCAAAACCACAACCCTGATGTGGCCCACAATGAAATTGAGTTTGACACCCCTGTGTTAGGGGCTGCCCAGAGTCACTTAGATAAGATGGGTAGCCATACAAATTGAATGAATGAATGAATAAAGCAGAGAAGTCTGAAGAATCCAGTCCTGTCAAATGATGGAAGGATCAGTGAGCCATCAGCACAAGGTCCATACCTTTTGTACATACATGCAGTGTCTTGGAGCTCCACCATGGTGGTAGAATGTTGCTTCTATCACTTGTCCCATCCCCCCCCCCCCGCAGGTCCCTCCCCTTCTGTGAATGCTTTCTGGTCTAATTGTGGCAGGAAAAATAAGGGAAATCTTATGCTGTGAATGCATCCCTTACTTCAGGTACAGAAAATTAACTGCTATATTGCAGTCCTAACACAATCTTCCTCAAAATGGCACTTTCCTTATGTTTCGATGACAAATCTTCTTACTCTCAGCAAAGATCTGGCTGTAGTTGATTGATCTTTTGATGGTTTTGTACATCCAGAAGGTGCCTGATTTGGAAAACCTGGTGTGTATTATGAATTATAGGATTTTGGCAAAAATATATACTTGAATGAAACAGGACTGGATATTCCTGCCTTTTGCTCCTTATGCATTTTTTCCTTTCTGTCCATTTCTTGATACACCATAGTATCAAGATGGGGTTTCTCTTTCCAACTTTCCTTGCAATTTACATCTCCTTCTCTCAGTGCTCAGACATCCAGGGTCAGAACTGGGGAGCAGGGGAAGGTAAGAAGGGACAATCAGCAAGACACATGCTGGCAACTCTATCCTTGTTTCCATGGCCACGACAATTTGTGATCTCTAGCAACCGTTTCCATGGTTGCCCCATGAATAGAAGTGGGGCCCAAATTGAACATTGGCAGGGCATGGGTTTAAAGAGACACTAAAAATTTCTGGATGGGTAGAGAGAATATAACCAGTGGGTCCGTCTTCTCCAAAGTGATACTGACCAACATACTTGGCATTTCTTTGTGGTCACAACCTGGTGGATATGTTTATATTTTACAAACACACACATTGCTATATACTAGAGGAAGCAGGCATCCTGTATGTACGCATTATGAAGTCTATTTAGAACACAGTGTTAAAGAACAGAGAAATTAATTGGGTTAAATGAAAGAGAACATAGATTATTTTACACAGCTATTAATAAATTACAGAACAGAAGCCACAAATCTTCCACCTGTACAATTGTTGATAGACTCTGTACTCTCTGAAACCAACCTGTATGTTCTTAGTTTGCTGAGAAAAATGACAATCTTTAATTACTAAGTTTATATGGCATGTTTGATAAATAGCAGTGGTATATAACTTTCTCCCCTGGTTTCATGTGTTATCTACTAGTAATTAGATGGACCTTCTTCGATGTTGGGTCTTCAATTATGGTGGCTAGCAGCAGCTGTGAATGATTGGGGATGATAGCTACCATATAACTTCTCCAAACATCTCAAAGTGGCATTGCAGGAAATAAAAATAGCAATTCTTAAAACTCAATTATGTTTATGAAGAAAAGCTAATGTGCTAAGGTCTGCTGGATAATTAGTGTCCTGATAGCCGTCCAAAATCTCTATCCAAAATAGCTGTCCAACCATGTGTTTCCTTTGCTTTATTTTCCAAAAGAAAAGTCCAGGTAATACTCCTTGGGTTATATTTGCAAAGATAATCGCCCAATTTCAAATAGAAGAGGAAATTTACTATGTTTATTCTCTGGTGACAGAAAGGCATCAATATGTGCTTAGGCAGTTCTTATCTCTCATAATCTTAGTTTTGGCATTATACCTTTTGGGATTGAGTCCTGGTTTAGATTCAAGACCCAATGCATATGGATCTTTACACTGAGATTGAGGACATAGAGAGGTTAGAATCGGTAATAAATTTGGCTGAAAGAGAAGACAGACTGGGAAAATGGACTGCAATATAATAGAGACTGATTTAAGGTTCTCTAAAGGCTGTGTGATCAGCTCATTACAATAAATTCCTTCTGAAAGTAACGAACATCACAGGCTCTTATAAAGTCTTCTCCAATTTAATTCCTAATTCTGACTACAGCAACTTACAATTTCTGGAATTCAAATCAAACGTATGTAGAGAGCCGCATACTGGGAAAAAAACCTTCTAGTATATAATTATATTTTTAAATTCTTAATAAAAAAATCATACTGTGTTTGAAAAAGAGGAAATGATCATCAGGATCTAATTGTCTCCTCCTATTATAATTTTTTTCACATAACTCTGACTCTAACCCTAATTTCACTCAGTTAGCTTTTATTAGGGCTTGTACCATCAGCTGACAATCTCCTAGAAGAAGATGGAATAATCTAGGATGTATATATGGAATACTATGGAAAATTTCATAGCAGCTCATATCAGCACATGCAGTTGCACATAATGAAAGCAAAGCATTTCTCAGATGCTCAGAGATGGTGAGGGCAGCTGTGCAAAAAAACTGGAAGGGGAGAGGAGGGGAAGGGAAGCATGCTTTGCCTAGATCTGCAGTTGTCTCTCCATATCAAAGGACTACCGGATGAAAGTACAGGCAGTTGTGGCAGTGTCCTTGTTTTATTGCTAATGAAGCAAAAAAGTAATATGTTCCTTTTATTGCTGAGCTCAGGGTGAATTCAGTTCTGCATTAATTACTTCTTAAAGGACAGCGGTGGACTTTCCTTGGTAAAAAGGAAAGTTTAATCTTCTTTTGTCTGTCCATATTTCTTGTGCTACCCTTCCCTTTAGCAGATTCAATGATTTAAAGACAAGGTCACCTGATGCTACACACATTTCTGCCCCAAAACCTACTGCAGATTTTACCCACCCTTAATAAGCTCATGCTATGTGCAGCAGCACTCTGAAAGACGAAGAAATATAGCAAGCAAGGCGCCCTGATTTAAAAGGGATGCATTTGATTCAGGGAATAATTCCGTAAAACTAGGCACAATTGCATAACATCATGATCTACTGGAATAAAAATTAGTTTCAGTAATCTGAAACAAAAATAAGTCCTCTTTCTGTTTATATTCCCTTGTGAATAGTGAAACCCTTGGATCAGGGACCTGTTACTTTTATATTCCGAAAAGTGCCTATAAATGACATGAAGATCATAAATTGGTTGTAATATTCCAGGTGGCTCAGGAAGTAGAAAATCTACATATAATTTGAAATAGGTTTGATTCAAGTGGCTTGCAATTGCCTTCTTCCTTTTTTTTTTTAAATTTTGCAATTTAATCTACAGCTTGGTATCCCCTACCTTCATAGTCCCCATCCAAGTATCCACTATGCTCGACCTTGTTTAGTTCCGAGACGGATCAAAATGGTCAAAAAGTCTTAAATTGCTGGGGGAAAAGCAACAAATAAAATTTTCCACTGCACCTTCAAACCTCAGGGTGCCTCCTACAGTGTTTCAACTTTCGCCCTTCCCTCCCTCCTTTCCCTATGGTTCCTTACCGTCTGGTGCAAATCAGGAATACCAATTCGGAAGACCATCATACTGAAGTGAGCGTCCTCAGGTACTGACATGGAGCAATTGTGGGCAGGGTTAGCAGGACTGGCCGGGGGGCTGGGCCCCTCGTGGGAGCTCTCCGAGCCAGACTCCCCCTCGGGGCACTGGGAGAAGTGCTCCTCCTCCTCCGCGCTTGATTCGGGGCTCTGGGGCATCGTCAGAGGTGCTGGGCACCATCACTGGCTGCACTGTAAGGATGAGGAGAGAAGAAAGATACAAAGATTTTTCCATGGAGGAGAGCAACAAGGGATATATTACGAACAGCAGGTGGAACCTAAAAACATATACAATGATAGCCTCCCCATCCCAGAGCTATAAGATGCATTCTTCTAAAATACACCTGTGCACACTTACTTGTGACATCTTCACCGACTGCAATGCTAATAAAGCATTTAAATCAAATAGTCCCAGAGCAAAACACCCATTAACACTCAAATAAAACCTTGGGCAAGTCTAGTAGAAAGTCATCCTTTATGCTTTCATAAACAAGCACAAATACTAAAGATTATATTGATTAAAAAAATAAAGGCAGAGTAAGGTCATCCATGCTGTTTTGCTGCCCTAGGGTGAATGCTAATTGTGTCACCCACCCACATCTTACTCTGTGTAGGAGGCAGACTGGGTTCCTCCTTAAGGAGTTTCCTAGATTGTGACTCTCTTTTCTCTGCTCAGTACCAGGGAATGGGAATTTCCAATTTTACAACTATGCAACAATGAGAGAAAAAGGATCTGAGATCAGTAAACCTAGCTTCTTTATTAATTGAGATAATGTCAAGTAACTAAATCAGCCTTTCACAGTCTGGTGCTTTCCAGGTGTAACAGACTACAAGGCCCATCAAATTCAGCCAACTAAGAAGTACATGACTGGGAGAAGGCTGACAAACATGATGTGCTGAACACTGGAAAAGTCTCGAGAGAATGGTAGCAACTGCTACTTCAATATAGCAAGCTGTCAACATATGTGTGCATGTAATGAGCTTTTCACACTGTGCAAGGTATGACTATCAGCCACCTGGTCTCACAGTAATAGATTCACACAAGCATATAAGAGAAACAAAAAGCGGTTTGCATGTATTCAAATATGCTTTCCAAGCAGTTTATAGAAAACTTGTTCTGACACATAGTGCTATAAACATCATTCCAAAAAACATATATAAAATCTCATTTGATCAGTCTAGCACATCTCAGATTTAGTTATTTTTTAATTTATAGCTTGGAAAGAAATCATCCTGCCCTTCATTCCCTTTTGTCTTTTAGCTTTCTTCCTTTTGTTCTGATTGTGCCTCTGTTTTGTTCTACGTCCCCCAACTTTTTCCTCTCCTGTGCTCTCCCCACAAGGGTGGCAGGTATAAAAGCCCCATCCCAAGCTCATCCCGGTCACATGCCAATCAGTTTCCTTCTCATCTCTCCCACCTCCATCCCACTCTCCTTCTCTGACTTTTCATGCTCTATGTCCCAGTTCCAGCTGGCCCCAAGGCCCATGTAATCTGTAAGGAAGCAGCACGTAATGTCCCAGAAAGTGTAACAAGACCTGGAATGACTGTCCTACTTTTGATACTAGCCCAAAAGGCTATTAATTAGCCCAAAAGGACATCATTTGCCCTACGTTGTCGCTCCTCCAATTTCAGACAGACAAATACTCTACGAGGTGGAGGGAAACATAGCTCAAAGGATGAACATGCAGTTTGAGAAAGTTCCAATTTCAAGCATTTCCAGGCACTTACTTAAGACAATGGATAAGTGTTGTCAATTGGAAAAAAAAACATTTGGGACTAAATGGGCAAATAATCTGAGTTAGAATAAGGCAGTTTTGATATCTGATAAAGTATTCCCCAAGAGAGTTCCTTGTTTGATAAAACACATCAAATCATGCCCTCTTGACCATGACCTCAAAGACTCACAGATTACTAACTTTTTCTGAGACACCAGAGATTGCCGTGATTGAATACAACACATCAAGAAAGAACAAAGATAATGACAAAGAAAACTGACAGTCAAAGAAAAAATAACTCTTCCTGAAGCCAAGTGGACAAAGACAGATGATTCAACAGCGCAAGTGCAGTGTTTCCTATACTTTACACATTGTTGCTGGTAGCTTTTAACACCATAAATGCTTTGTAGTATTAGTAGTAGTGATGACACATGATATCAGTACAAGAACAATAAACAATTTATTATAATAGCACATCTAGGTCAGTGTTTCTCAACATTAGACACTTTTAGATGTGTGGACTTCAACACCCAGAATTCCCTAACCAACACTAGATGGAGAATTCTCAGAATTGAAGTCCACATATTTTAACGTGGCTGAGATTGAGAAACTTTGATGTGGAGAAAGTCTCAAATTTGTTCCGTGACTGGTAGGTACGGAACAAAAAGGCACACAAAAATGTCAGACTCTCTTGGAAAGAAGTTGAGCGATTATCTAGCTCAAGGTAAGAAACTGTACTGTTTGTTGGTTTTCCACTGAAGAAAAGGTAAAATGTATCCATGGCTTCCACATTCATATAAATTGAATGAATGTATAAATAATACATTTTTAGAAGACATTTTAAGGGGGAAAAAATTTAAATCCTTTCACTGAACAAGGGCCATATTGCAGAAGATACTTTTTGGCAGGAACTGTCATTTTAGCTGTGAACAGTCACAGTATGATAGTAGAGAAAGATCCGAATAGCTATCATATCACACAAAAAACAACAACAAAAGAGAAGACTTAAAGTACTTCTCTCTCTGCATGCAGTAACCATAGTAAGCTTTAGCATGTGATGAAAGACACACACACACACACAGAGCTATATGTATTAAATATGTGTATTAAAGAGCCATGCATTATAAAGGGAGCATTTAACATTATGTTTAGTTAGATTCTGCCTATTTTGATATGTTCCAGGTATCTGGCTTTTCACTCCTATTAACCTAGTCAGTTCATACCAGTCACATGTTAATGGATAAATAGGAAGAAAAACAGAAACCCCAAAATGAATTCACAAACTATGCCTTTATGAGATTTATTTCTGGTTTAGCGCAAGAGTTGTCAAATTGCATGGAACTATTACCCGTTAATAAAACTGATTTCATTGTGTTAGGGTCGGGCAAAAAAGATACCACATACTGTTACTAAATTGTTAAATTTATAAAATGAAACAACTATAGAACTCACAACTTTGTTAGGCACAATGGCACCAATCTTAGTTTTATTTTATTTTTGAGACTGTATCCCCCCTCCTTTTTTTTACATTTAATTTGGACTGATATCAGCTATTTAAAACACCTCCAATCTACAGAAAACCTTGGCTTGGCTGTCAGCTGTTCCAGGCAGCAGGCAAAGCCACAATTGTGCTAGAACTCAAGGTAAATTTGCTTGGACTAGCCATCTATTGGTACATCCAGGTAGAGCAGAAGTTCTAATAACATTCCTGTTTTGTGTTTATAACATATCCCTCTTTAAATTTCTGCTCCTCTGAAATTTATTGATGATTACTTGGAAGGTTGCAACTCAAGAGTTTGAGAACACATGATGTGTTGTCAGCCCAGCTATTGTGGCTTAGCATTTATGAAAACCATTGCTTAGTCAATAAACCATGGATAAAAAGCTACAACTTACAGAGTGCTTTATGAATGCATCACAAGACAATCATTTATATCTGCATTTTTATACTTCTATACTTACAAAGAATATCTTAGGAAACACCTTGGGTCCAAGCTATCTATGGAATTTTTTAGTCTTAAATTTATTCTATTTCTACATTTTTTTAAAAAGCCAGCTCATAAAATCAGTATATCTTTTTCTGAATATCGGCATTTTTAGATTTTAGTTTCAATTTTGCCTACTACATCTCTGCAAGCCACTTTTTTTTTTTCTTAAATAAAACACTTTTCTATTAGGAAGTATTTTTGTGCACTTTTTCTTACTGTTTTACTGAAAATGCATTCCTTGATCTGTAAAGCAGATCCTGCACCTGCCAAAAAAATGTAGGAAAAAGATGTTTTCTTACTGTTTTCCTTTTTGTATACATCTTATTTAATGAACTGCATCACAAAAATCTTAGAAGTGCAATCAGTGAAGAAGAAGTGCAATTACTGATGAAGAATTGTGTTCCTCTTTGCATATTTATTTGGGAACAGCTAATTTGGTAAGTTCCTGCCAAAATGCACTTTGAATCAAATTCTGTTTCATGTTCGAGGTTAGTAATAGACAGGTACTAAAATATTAAAGAGAAACAAGTTTCTCTTTCTGGAATGCCATTTTCCTTATGAAAAGTTCCACTGCCTTATAGAAGAGTGCACTTTTTTTAAAAAAAAAATTGCAGAACAATGAATGGTTTAAACAATATTTTCAGGAGGTGCAAAGAAAGTAATTCACTTCCATCATCTATCTTGCTGTACTGTCCTACTGACATGACAAGTTACTTTATTCCCACAAGGTATCTTACTCCCGGCTCTCTCACATCAGTTAATTTAGCCCATCCTATGGCATGCAATCCTCACATGTGGAGAATGTTTGTAAGCCAGGGTTTACATGTGAATGGAAAATACTCATGACTCAATATGCAGGGCTGAGCAAAAACTCTTTGGTCCAATCGGTTGTCGTTGGACCATTGTTAGTACCCTATGGAAGCCATTAAGGTAGTGCAGGGTTTTTCCAAATCTGCTGTAAGAACTGTAAGCTTCTGTGAGAACCTGATAGAATTTTGTCCTGACGAGCTGTCAGGACAAAAATGTTTACTTACCAAAGCCATTTCTCTATCATTAAAGCTTTGCTTTTTTAACAGGGACTCTGGTGTTTTTTTAAAAAAATGAACAGACCTCAGTCTGAAACATTTGGAAAGCACCTAATATTAGTACATTATTTCAGGTATTGTTTCTCTTTAATATTTTAGAACTTTAATATTCTGTGAATATAATAATTGATCTTTAATTAACATGGGATTACGATTTAGCATAGCACACGGATCTGGTCTCTCAGTGTGTAGAAATTTAGAGGATTTCTTGACCTAATCTGTAATTCCATTATCATAAGCAAAAATCTTCAGGCTAAAACAAAGCATTATGATTTCTATGAGCATTTATTTCTTTTTATCCTTATCTTTATCTAAGTTGTTTGCAGGATTTATTGAAGCCAATCAAAAACTGAGCAGTATAGGAGAGACTTCACTCTTGTGTCCTTAAATCATGGTTTACTGTT